TGAAAAGTCCAACACATATGATTATTATTAAAATATTAAACTTTAATATAATATAAAAAAAGGAAAAAAAGAAGACATTTAAAATATATATATATATATATATATTTTAAAATCACAATTCATATATATAGATAATTGTAAACACAATTCGTGCATAGCACGGGTGATATGCTAGTAAATAATAATGGGAAAGAGGTGTAATTTGAAAAGTCAACACTGTGTGGAGCCCAATCTGAAAAAATGAAAAATAAAAAAAATCTATACTATATATTAAGTAAAATGAGATTTTTAACCTCAAGTCTTGTGGGAGCTCCAATCTCCCAATCTAAATTTCCTGATTTTTTTATTTAAAAAAAAAATCTTAGCATTTATTAACTTCTTTCAACTCCCAAGTCTTACCCTCAGAATAACACTTTAATGCATTAAGAACAAACATAAAAAAAATTCTTTGAAATCCAACACATATGAATTCCTTGAAAAGTTCCAACACATATGATTATCATCAAAATATTAAACTTTATTATAATATAATAAAAAAAAAGACATTTAATTCCTTGAAAAGTTCAACACATATGATTATTATTAAAATATTAAATTTTAATATAATATAAAAAAGAAAAAAAAGAAGACATTTAAAAAAAAATATTTAAAAATCACAATTCATATATATAGATAATTGTAAACACAATCCGTGCATAAAAAATAAATAAATAAAAAGGTGAAAACCTAATGACCAATGGTAATTGTCGTATTTTTCAACTGGAGGAGAAATTATTAAATAGGTATGCCATGTTATCATGTTAATTTGGTGTACTCAATCAATTAAGTTTCAATGAATGTGATAACTATTTGTATAGTTTCTAAAACTACTTCATATATTATCACTTTTTTTTTTTTAGTTCTCTATGTATTGTTCACATTGACTGGATGCATTATTGTTAGAAATTGGGCGCCCATGTGGCATGACCCTTAGAACCTTTTGAACCTCATCCAAATGGGTTTTTGAATTTAAATTCAAACCTATTTGGATGAGCCACTCAGGATATATATCTATCATATCATGATATGGATAGATGATATAGATATCAGATATTATCTCATTTAACCAATGGATAAATGAGATAAATATAATATATATCTGATATATGGTTATGGGTAACCAAGAGAGAAAAACAACGTAGGTTTTGTTTTCTACCCATAAACTGACTCTCTCCCAAGAAACAACGATCAAGTCAATTGCACTGTGGTTTGTGTGGGTGATATTCACCATTGTAATATCACCCCACTGCTGGGATTGATTTATCAGACTCTGGAAACACGTGATTTATCCACGAGGTTCTATCATCGAAAGGTATGATATGATTATTTTATCCGCTGCATAATTGTATGTTTTAATTTACAATTATTGATGTGAAATTTCAAAATCATGGAATAACTTCTCTGAAGAGTCAAGAGTTAGTTTGAACTTATTTCAATTTAATGATTTAAGTTGTTCAAATTTAATATTTTGAGCATATTGTAAAAAAATTAAGTGCATTGAATCATATGCTTTATTTTTTTTTAAATTGAACAAAAAAGACCATTGACTTTTTTTACAGAAGATATACAAAAATTATAACATAAAACTAAGCAATTACCAAACCCGATTAAAGCTTGCTCATGGAGTTTCCTGGCAAAGGGAAGGAAAAAGAGAAAGAAGAGGAGACAATTTGATGTCCACCGTCCAATCAACAGACCAATCAGTAAGGTAAGCTATGGAGATCAATTTCCTCTCAACTACCATCTACCAAAAAATCATTATGTTATGTTTGGAAAGGGAAATAAACACTGGAAACATAAAATAAAGAAAATGATGTGAAAGACGTGCAAATGGAATCTTTCTAATGTACAAGTCAACAACCAATGGTAGTTGTGTTCTCATTTGATTCTTTGAAACTGTTTCAGGGTCTGCATTTCTTTTCATTCCATTTTCAAAAGTTGTGAGTGAAAATTGATTCAACTCTTTTCTCATCTGCGTTTGATTTCAATTCCAATTCCCAAAATAGATTAGAGTATGCCTCATCCACTCATTTCTCCCCTTGTTAGTTCAATTTTGAAAACCTTGAACTCTTTAGTGCTAAAAGAGTTTGGGATAGCATGGGGTTTGAAAACAGATCTAGAGAACTTAGGGAGCACTCTAAGTACCATTCAAGCAGTCCTTCAAGATGCAGAGACCAAGCGAGGAAAGGGCGAGGCTCTGAAGAATTGGCTGAGAAAGCTCAATGATGCAGCTTATGATGCAGACAATCTGGTGGATGAGTTCATGAACGAAGCTCTGAGAAGAAGGATGGATTCTGAGAGAGGCATAAACCCCCAAGTAAGTGCCTTTTTCTCTCTTCGAAACCGGCTTATATTTCGATTGAAAATGGGGCATAAGATCAAGGATATGAGGGATAGGTTAGATGCCATTGCTGGGGAGAAAAACAAGTTTCACTTGAGGGAAGGTCTGGTGGAAACCGGAGAAGTTTGTGGGATGCAGAGAGGACAAACTGATTCAATGGTGAATGAATCAGAAATTTATGGGAGAACTGATGAGAAAGAAATGATAATTGAAATGTTGCTCAATAATTCAAGTGATCGTGATGATGATGTTTCGGTCTATGCTATGTGTGGTATGGGGGGACTTGGAAAAACCACACTTGCTCAATTGGTCTACAATGATGGAAGGGTGAAGAGCTACTTTGAGCTGAGAATTTGGGTGTGTGTCTCTGTTGATTTCGATGTAGAGAGACTAACCAGAGCAATCCTAGAGTCCATAGAAGGTCGTGGGTGTAGTATCTCAAACTTGGATCCACTTCTACGTCGCCTCCAAGAAAAACTGTTTGGGAAGAGATTTTTACTTGTCTTGGACGATGTATGGAATGAGTACCATGAGAAGTGGGATAGGCTAAAAAATGCACTAAAGTGTGGAGCTAAAGGCTGTACCGTTATAGTAACAACAAGGATTCAGCAAGTTGCTCTTATTATGGCTACACTTCCTATACACCACATGGCTCATCTGTCGGAGGATGATTCTTGGTCCTTGTTTAAACGGCGTGCATTTGGCAACGAAAGAACAGAGGAAAACCTTCAATTGGATCTCATTGGGAAGGAAATAGTGAAAAAATGCAAAGGGTTACCCTTAGCGATAAAGGCTTTGGGAAGCCTCATGCAATTTAAAAGAAGTGAAAGTGAATGGTTATCTGTGAAGGAGAATGAGACTGGGATTTGCCAGATGATGGAAGTGGTATTTTACCTTCCTTGAGGTTGAGCTATGAAGCCTTACCTCCACATTTGAGGCAATGTTTTGCTTATTGTTGTATATTCCCGAAAGACTATAGAATGGAGAAAGACAGGTTGATACAATTGTGGATGGCAAACGGTTTTATTCCATCTAAAGAACAAACGACATTACATAATATGGGCCATGGGATTTTCTGGGACTTGGTTTGGAGGTCCTTCTTACAAGATGTGGAAGAGAAAAACGATGGAACAATATTATGTAAAATGCATGATCTTATGCATGATCTTGCACAATCTATTATGAGATATGAATGCTCTATTGTGGAGCCTCACGAGGCGACGAAAATTCCAGATAAAATTCGTCACTTGTCTTTTAATATTGGCTTTGGAAAGATGGCTCCTTGGAATGAGATTGTATTTGAAGTCCCATCTTTGCAGTCTGTCTTTCTATTTTCCAAGGACAATATTGCTTCACCTTGCATTTCAAAACAAAAGTATCTTAGAGTGTTGGATTTTGGTAAAAATGTTGATGAGAAGTTGTCAATGTCAATTTCCAATTTCAACCATCTTAGGTATTTGGACATGTCGTACTCTAATATGGAAATTCTACCGGAATCAATAAGTAATCTCCAAAACCTGCAGACCCTAAAGCTAAGACATTCTGCACTTCGTAAGTTGCCCAAACACATGAAGCACATGAGAAATCTCACTTACTTGGACATCACAGGGTGTAATTTTCTTACTTCAATGCCAGATAAAATGGGACAATTAACTTGCCTACAAAGACTAAGCATGTTCATTGTAGGCCAAGATGAGGGTTACCAAATTGGTGAGTTAAAAGAATTAAATCTTGGGGGTACGTTGAGCATAAAGAGACTCGAGAACGTAAGAAATTCAGAAGACGCGAAGAAGGCCAATTTGAAGGGGAAACATGATCTTATTTCTTTGGAATTATAGCAAGAGCAATGAAGAAAACATACCAAAGAATGTCGAAGAGGTTCTTGAGAGTCTCTAACCTAATTTGAATCTGAAGAAGTTGAGCATAAATTTCTTCCAAGGTTCAAAGTTTCCAGATTGGATGTTGGGTTTGGTTCTTAAAAAACTGGTTGAAATCTCTTTAATAGATTGTGAAAGATGTGAACATCTTCCTCCTCTTGGCAAACTACAATCCCTAAAAATTCTTGAGATCAAACGCATGTGTTCTCTTAAGTACTTCAACCATGGGGATTATGGAGATGGGGAAAGATCATTTCCTGCATTGAAGACTCTCGAGTTCTATGAAATGCCAAGCTTGGAGGAATGGGCAATAGTGGATAGAGGAGAAATTTGCCCTTGCCTACAGGAGTTAGTGATATCTGGATGCCCCAAATTGACTAAATTGCCTTTTCTTCCAGCACTTGAGAGCTTAACAATTGAGGGAGGCAATGAAATGTTATTTAGGTCCGTGATTAATCTTACTTCAATTTCCGTTTTTCGGATACAATTATGCTAGGGACTCCCAGCAAGTCCGGATCCTCAGCGGCCCTTCTTGCGGCGCCTCAAAACGACGTCGTTTTGGTGTCAAATTTTAATTTAAAAAAAAAAAAAGGAACAAAGGAGAAGAAGAAAGAAGGGAAAAAAAGAAAGGCTGAGAAAGGGAGGAGGAGGAGGAGGAGGAGGAGGAAGAGGAGGAGGAGTGAACAGAATTCAGAGACCAAAATAAAATTTTCCATTTCATTTGTCTTGGTTTTCTTCACATCCAAAGACAGTGAACAGAAATTTCAAAGAAGAGAGAGAGAGAGAGAGAGAGAGAGAGAGAGAGAGAGAGAGAAATGGAACAAACCTGAAGATTTCTGGGTATTTGCCATTTCAATCTAATAACATAATCTCAATGTATAAAGAGATTTAAGAGCCCATTTCAAATACCCACCATGGTTTTCGCCGGTAACCCAGATGATCGTGAACAAACTTCTTGACCCAAATCCTATCACACGAATCTCAGCTTCAGATTCATGGACATATCTTGGTTCAAATTCAACAAAAAGATTCTCAAAAATGTCAAGCGAATGAGTGAATCAGAGAGGGATTGAATTGGAGGAGGAGAAAGAGAAGGAGACGCTGAATGCGTTTCATATAATTTCATTATCGGAGGGGTTCGATTTGTCGCCGTTGTTCGAGGAGAGGAAGAAGGAGGAGAAGATGAGGTTTACGACGGCGAGCAGAGTGATAGAGAGGATGGAAGAGGTAGGGAAGGCGGCGGAGTTCAGCGTGAGGAAGAGCTTCAGCCTCCTCCTCTCCTCTCCTTCTACCCCTTCTCTTTCCCCTTCTCGATCCTCCCTTCTTTCTTCTTCTCCTTGCTCCTGCTCTGTCTTTTTTTTTTTTAATTGAAATTTGGCCCCAAAACGACGTCGTTTTGGGGTGCCGCAGGAAGGGCCGATCCGGGCTCCACCCCCAGCACCCCACTGGCATTTCATTGGCCAATTTTTTGAGAACTTTTGTTATCACTATGACGAGAAGGAAAACCCATTTAACAATGGGATAGTGAAGAATCTTAAAGAAATCTTCCTTTCTAAGACCCCTCCTTCAGCAATCAATTTCAGAAAATGGGTGGTTCAGGAAGCTGATCCAATTATGGAATCCATAAATCAAAAGTTTGGTAGAGGTATGATTGACTCAAAAGATAAATTAGACATAAAAATGGGAGGTGTGCTTAGCAAGCATGGTGGAATTCTTATTCCAAATATTTTGCAAAATTTGGATTATACTAGGATTGATGATAATTTGAAGGAGGAAGGAGGGGATAATGCATTTGATCCGTTGTTCTCTCATACTAAGGAAGAACATAGGCACTCACAGTGGAACCCCCATAACTGCTATAGTACAAGTGTAGATGAAAGGAGTGAGGACGGTAGCTCCCATTGAACTTCATCTCCAATTCCTTAAGATTTAAAAGGTAACATGAACATTGTGTTTTTACTTAAAAATGGCTAACAATATAACAATAAACTTTGTAATATAAATATTTGCATTTGAATCTTAGTACTGCTTTGCACTCAGTGTTCATGCTTTGTTCTACATGACTGTAAGAGGGAAGACTTAATTGTTCCAAAATTTTGTTTGTTCTATTAATTGCATACACCTGCCATTTATTTTTCTACGATAATTATTCCATCTACAAGTTTCTTTTCTAGTTATGCTGGGAATTGTGATGGAAAATGATAGAAAATCAAAATTTTAGAAATAACAAAAAGTGCTAAAGGAAAAGCATAATCGTTGCTTTGGAGCACTAGAGACCATTCTGGTATATAAAAGAGCTGGTTTATTCCTCATTAAAAAGCTATTGTAAATATCTCCATGAAGCCAAATAAACCAACTCTTTCATATTTAAGCCTAAGGAGTTAAGAAGCACAAATACTTCTAAGAAGGTGCGTGTTTATGTTGTGTCTGTCTTAGTGTTTCTTAGCTATGGTGCTCTTTTCCGTATTCCTCTTGTTCACATTCTTGGAAACTTCATGATCAGTTTTTTGTTAAATTCTCTTTGATTCAACTTTTTCTTCCTCTTTTAGGGGAGTACTTGTTGGCTTTCGAAGGTTATTAATGTAATTTTGAACGTGCCAGCAATGATCAATCAGTCCTTACAGAAGATTAATTACCAACCAATTATCAGACGATTGTGTTTTAGTTCTTTCAGTTTCAATGAAGAGGACTTTTACTGGTGGCTTTGTTTAGGAGAATTAAGTAAATAACGATTAAATGAAGAACAATTGTAACATTTCATTAAGTAAAAATGAAAGACTTACAATGATCCAATTCAGTCTCGTAGAGGTTTACAGCAACAAGTTACTTAAAACTACTCCTATGAACGAAGTGCAGTACAGGAATTTGAAGTACAGAAATGTAAAGAACAAGAAATGTAAAAACTGGAAAGAAAATAAAGAAGATAAAACTGGTTTTTTGGATTTGAGTCTGTCCTTTCTTTCTGAGGCCTTCTCTGCTATTTATACTTCTCAATGACAACCGTCGAAATGAGTTTCTAACCTTCGAACCATCTTTCCGTGATTATTGATCATGTTTCCTCATGGTTGGCTCCATTACGCCATGTCTGCAGTTAGGCTTCCCTATTAATTTTGAATTCAAATTTATGAGTAACCGTTAAAGCCACGTCATCTTGCATCTCTTTGTTAATCCAGTGCTATGTAGATCCACCATAACCAATACTAATTGCCACGTGTGTGATTATGATTGAAGATTTGAATTGTCTTCTTGTATTGCCCTCACTCTGCCACATGTTGAACTGTGATTGGCCCATACAAAATATGTAGCCAACAGTATTGTAGCTCGACTTTTTCGTGCCTCCCCTTTCGAGATGTCAAGATATAAGCCTTACAATTCGGACTTCTGCGGTTATGAATCTATTCTCACAAGTGCAATGTGAAATTGATAACACTAAAGAGTCCAAATCAGGCAAATCGTTTTGAAAAATTGATTTTGAATCACAAATGCCAAAATTGAACTGCTTTGCCAGATACAGAGTCGCCACCTAAATATTTTTATTTTGGAGAAAGTTAGGAAACCCATGACTCGTGCCAAAGGCCACGTGTTCGTCATCAGCAAAGTTGCCTCGGCTCAGGAACTTGGGTACGAAAGGGGAAGGTCATGAATACATTTGAGCACTCCCTGTATGCTCTTGTTCCGATTTATTCGGCTAGCATTTACTATGTGATGCACGCACACAAGGTATAGACTAGTTTGCCCGAATTAGAACAATTCAATTTCATGTTTGTTTTGTGAAAAGGGTTTGATTTTGCCACTTAACCAAAGTGGGCTTAAAGTTTGTAAATTTGTCACTTAACAAAGTGGGCTTTAAACGTACATTTATTGAATCATTTCCAATTCAAGGAACAAGCTTTCATCCACAGGCACTCAAACAGTTTAACAAGTAAGCACTTAGCCTCATGGAAAGCATGTTAGTCATAGTGATCACTCACATTCATGCAAGTACGCTAAAGCACTAAAAACTCACCTAGTACTCCAAGCTAAGATAAAACAAAAGAGTTAGAAAAATATGCATGATTCCTAATTATACAAGATAACTAATGTAACACATGCAATAATGCAACTAATAGGCTCGTCTACTTAACATGTTATTTGCAACAATTTTATAGCATGCGTTTAAACACTTATTCAACGAGGTATATAGCGATCCCGGGTTTACCCTTTTTCCATCTTGTTGTACAGTGATCCGGACATGTGTCCGTAGATGTTGGTTGTTTTTATTATCTTGTTTGCATCCTTGTTATTTCTTATTGAGTTATAGGATGTGTTGGGCAGGTTTGTTACAGGTTGGTTATAGTTTGGAGGCCTAGTGTTGCTGCCCAGATTTTTGGACCTTCGCTCGAGCGAGGAGTTGGTCGCTCGAGCGAGAGTGGGGTTCGGTGTCTGGTGGTCGAGCCAGAGTGGCTCGCTCGAGCGAGCGGTTGCACCTGGTTCTGGACCTGAGAGTTGCCTTTCTTAGCTCGAGCGAACTTCCTTCGCTCGAGCGGTCTGGGTTTTCTTCGCTCGATCGAGAACTTCTTGGCTCGAGCGAGAGTTTTCTGTGTCTGGTCGCTCGAGCGACCAAGTCTTCGCTCGAGCGAGCCGTGTTTTATATCAAGCGGACAGTAGCGTTTTTGAACATCACTTTTGCACCTTTTCTTTTTATCAACCCTAAATCCGAGACCCTCTTTCTCTAAACTTACTCTCTCTCTAAGATTTGATCTCCCTAGGTGTGAATCTAGCCTAGGGCCTTTGTTAAATAGATAGAGGGCGTTGAGAGCTTTGTTTTAATCTGAAAAAGTTTGGATTTGGAGCAAGTTGATCTTCGAGTCTTCATCTCCTTTGTGGCTTAAACTTCGAGGTAGGGATATCCTACTCCTCTCTATGGATTTTGTCTTAAATTTTGGTATTTTGAGATGTTGGGTTTGGCTTGGTAATTTTGTGAAAGTTTGGGGCTTTTGTGTAATTTTACAAAAGTTGGGGTTTTATTCATAATAAACCTAGATGCATGTTTGGCATAGAGAAATGGAATGATTGTTGAATCATTGATGAAAATGGGACCTAAGGGTTGAAATGTTAATTATGGGAATTGACCTAATTACATTGTTTAATTAATTGGATAATTAATTGAGAAGAATGAAAAATGAAATGTTGATTGAATATCCATTGTGCATTTATTTTCTGTTTAGAAATAACTGCTTTGGGCTATCGGTGGAGGATAGTCGTGATTGTTGTAGACAATGCATGATGATTAGGCAAACTGAAACTAATCAATGAAATGTGTCATGGAACTTGACGGTTGATAGAATACATTAACTGTATGTATTGGGTGATTGTATATAGAACCAACGTGTTTATATACGTTATGTGTAGAGGAGAGATAGGGGATGTACTCCGCGGTTTAGGGGAAGATAGGGGAATGTACCTCTAAAACCGGATAGTGTTGGAGAAGATAAGGGATGAACT